CCCAATCGGGAATCAAACTCGTGTCTCCTGTAAGTGACATCAAAGCACCTAACCGCTACATAATAACAATGATAATAATTTAATAATAATAATGATGATAATAATAAATACAATAATAACAATAATAATGATAATAATAAAAATAATTAATTATAACGATGATTAAAAAAATGATAATAATAATCAATTAACAATAATGATGATAATAATAATAATAATAAGAATAACAAATAACAATAATGATAATAACAATTAAAATGATAACAATAGTAATAATAACAATAATAATATTGATAATAATAATATACCAGGCGATAAGACAAGACAATAATGACAGGAGAGAGGCAGAAGCCTGGGAGAACAGTGGTAGAGTAATCTCACTAATCTCACTTACGGTTGTGAAGTCGCCTTGTTTGGACAGTTGGGCACAGTTCAGGAACAGACCAGCAGCCAAACATTTCCTGGAAGAAGAAAAAAAAACGTCAGACAAAAACAAAACACATGAGTTTTCTTTTATCTCCGTAAGCAAACAGTTCAGTTTTAGTAAGGTTTTATGGTGCTCGCAGCTGCATAAGGTCATATGAGCGCCAAGGGGTGGAAGCCAACAGAGAAGTCTAAACGTGTAATCAGGCTTACTCTGCTCACCTCTCTAGTCTCAACAGCACAAAGTCGGCTTCGACTATCAAGGCACCCCGGAAATAGCAGTTCACGAGAGAGTGACAAACATACAAAAGTAGAGGGGAAAATGACGACAGTAAGGGAGAGGAAAGAAAAAGCAGCAATTCACACAGACATCGTGACTACTACAAAGTAAATACAGTATAAGTATAACACGGATAGGTCGAACACAGAAGACTCCAAATGACGCATCTGTCGAACAGTCCCTGCGGTCCCGTATTTTCTTCTTCTTTACTTTAGTAAAAATATCTCTTGAACTGCGGAACCCTCAAACTGCTGAGACCGTTCCCGAAGAATACGAGCTATCCGTGTTATACTTTAATTGCATAATAATGCTGTTTTGAGGACACATGGTTTTTGGTTTTTATTTTTCTCATTAGATCATTTTTGGTGGTGGGCTCCGACCCTGTCTGTCAGCGCCAGGATACAATATCCCAAGAAAAAGAGAAAGGTACCCGATTAAAAATTTTCTCCCCTCACGAAAATCGAACTCAGTTCTTCTGCATGCGACGGCGAAGCGCCTGACCTCCAAACCACAGACGCCGGTCTCCATTAAACACAACGTAAGAGACAGAACTAAACACCCACTCCTCCCAAATATACAAAAAAAAGTCAATCTTCGATAGAACGGGATTTTACAAAAAGAAAGAAATCAGAAATGGACGTTTCAAACCTGTAGCACCGATTGAACAGTCCAGAGTTCAACGACAGAAATCAATATAAGTGTTTCGTTTCAATAACGAGAAGCACATAGGCACTATAACTACGGTCACTTCATCATCATTAATGCCTTTCTCCACTGGAAGGGTATAGGCCACTACGGTCACTTAGAGCGGGGAAAAGCAAGACAGAAAGAGAAAGCAACAACAGAGGGAACGAAAAGAATGAGCTGGATCTACCAGAGACACCCTTCAACCACCCACCGACAGAAGATATTAAAGGGTTGCTTTTTCTTAACAGTGCGCCGAGTCAGTTCAGGAAACTAGTTCTGAGTTCGAGTAAAGAGAAGCCACATCGACACTCACAGTAATGGTCATTTAGTGATTTAGTGCAGGGAAGAAGCAAGACAGACAGACAGACAGACAGACAGACAGACAGACAGACAGACAGACAGAAACAACAGGGAAAGAAAGAAAAGAAGTATGACCTATCAGTGGCGCACACCAACCACCCAGCTACAGAAGTTATTAAAGAAGGGGAGTGGGTGGTTGGTGGGTGCTCTGGTGTGGTATGCTCCTTTCCTATTAAACATCTATCTAGTTTAGTTTCAGTAAGAGTTTTACGGCACCTGTCTTCTTCTTTCTTATGTTTGTTACTACTCTTGTAACGCATCTATTCTTCGGCACTTATCTTATATGAACTTATTGTGTTGCAAATTCAGTAAAATTCTTGCTAAAACTAAATTAAACTAAAGAAGGGGGTGCTATTTTTCCCCAGGGCGCTGAACTGAGTCAGGTGA